TATTCTAGTTCCGGGGAAGTTGAACCCTAAGACTCGACGAATGTTTGATTAATTCTATGGTTGATAATTTCAATATCTTTTGAAATTGTTTGTGTTATTTTGAATAATTAACCCTGATTTGTTGAGTCTTGTTTAGCTTGATCACCTAGACTAGGCTTTTCATATCTACTGCTAGATTTAAACTGTCAATCCGTAATTGTTGATATATTTAATCAATTAGAGGCTACCGGAAGATGGTAACTACCGGGGATAACACAGCCTAAGTAAGTGAATGAAAATTTCGCTACTTAGTCTAGCCTATTTTTCTAAATCGTAAAGCGGCTAATTGATTAAATTTAGGAAGCGTTTCCTAGACTGTTCAAGAGGTCAGATTTAATCGTAGAGCGTCTCGCGGTTAGATTAAAAATAAGTAAAAATTCGGGTAACAGCCCGTGGCGTTACCTAGGGCTAGTAATTCCGTAGATAGCGAGATTTGATACCAGAATTAATTAGGCGAGTCGGTCGAGGGTGTAGACAGAACCGTGAACTAGAAGTTTTCCCATAATTTGATAATTATTCTCTTTTGATGCATTTGATTTTTATTTTCTTATTCTTATTTTCGTAGTTAATTGTCTCACATCAAAACCCCCTCTTTTATCGTTTTTATTAATTTCAATTAAAGAAAATAATTACAATTAAAATTCACACTCCCTTAGGTTCGACCCTTACTCACTGCTACTACTAGTTGGTAGAAGTCGAATAAGGAATTTATAAATAATAATTTTGTCGCGTTGCGACACGCGGTCAACAAGCAATTAACTCCTCTATCTACTCAAGCAAACAATTAAGTCTCAACTTTGCAACCATCATCAATCAAATCCAAATTACCCTAATAAACATTGATGGGTTTCTTCTCAGATCTGGAACGGTCCAATGAGAAAACATCTGGATCTGGGACGAACCGGTATGAATGAGCTTAGATCTGATGTGATGGCGCTCGAACCGTTGTTGTTGAGCCGCAAGAACACCTGCAAGAACTCAACGCCGGATGGGTTTCTGGCGTAGAGCCTCCGACGCTCAAGTCAGTATATGAGAGAGATGATGAGAGCTGCTATGAGAGCAGCAGCAGTAATGGAAGGGTATGGAATGAATGGGAGTTAGGGTTTTTGGGATTACCTCAGTCCTTTATATAGGAGTACAATATATACCTGAAGTCCCCAAAGTGCCCCGGCCGACTTAATGGAAATGTCCAGAATACCCCGGTCGGTTCATATTCCGCCTACTTCCTAGTCAGCATCTAGATCCTTCCTTAGCTTCCTTCTTATCCTTAACTCTTCTTCAATATGCTGAGGTGTCTCAAAGCTATCGGGAACCACGAACTACAGGACTCCCTCAGTCGACCTGGGATATTGCGTCGAGTCGACTGAGTCGCATTCAATTGTTAGTAGACCCTAATACGTCTGGCCGTTGTCTTACCAGAGGTCGACTTATTCTAGTCGACAGGTGTACGTTGACTCGGTCGAGAGCCGGACTTCTTGACTGAGTATCATGGAACCTTACTAATAGAGTCGACTTTGCCGAAGTCGACTTGGTAGTCTCGAACCGTGATGATATGAACCGCTATGAGCCAGTTGTGGCAATGCCATGGTCACTGAACCGATACACGACAGTATGGCTATATCATCTAGTCCCCCCCAAAATTACTCGAAGCGATTATGAGCTTACGAGTAGATTTTGTCGACTGGATGTTTTCCTCGAATCTTTTCATATTTCCCGTCATCAGTCGTTATCTCGGGTTACATCCATTCAATACCTCAACTTGTAATACGACTCGTTTTTCGCGAATTTTGACTTGATTAGATAAGTCTGAATCTTTTCAAATTTCAAAATTCAAAAGATTAACATTTTCTCTCTCCGCCGCTTCGTATTCTGTGCCTCATCTTGGCCGTTGAGAATGACTTTAATCCGAGGGCTGGGGTTTCTTCGCCCTCTCTATAAGTAACCCTCACTTTTCCTCTTCATCACTTTTCGCACTCGCCTCCTTCAAGATCTCTGTCATCTCCGGCAATCACAGCTTTCTCAAGTTTCCCGGCGCTCTAATTTTCCGGCGTTCTTCTCCGATTTTTCAAGACTTCTCGTCAAGCATCATGAGCATGAGTAAGTTTTCTTTGCCTGTTCGACTTGTTTTTATATGTTCAAGATAGGAGACTTTTTCGTTTTTCTGGGTAATTTGTCTGGGGATAAGAACATTTTCATTTTCTGGATAATTTGTCTGGGGATAAGAACATTTTCATTTTCTGGGTAATTTTTCTGGGGATAAGAACATTTTCATTTTCTGGGTAATTTGTCTGGGGATAAGAACATTTTCATCTTCTGGGCGATTTGTCTGTGAATTTCTAATTGTAAGTTTTTCATCTTTTCAAGTGTTCGTCTTTCGTTAGTCGTTTTGTTATGAGATCGACTTCCTTCCTTTCCCGACTTGACCTTTATTTGTCAAGTCGAATCGATAGGGGGACTACTTATTCCTTCTCCCTTTCTCCCCGTTGTCGAGGCGTTTCTCGTGTCATCCTGGCTATTTTGTTGAACCTTTTCTTTGAATCGAATCGTGATTTCTGACCACCTTTCTTGATTGCCATTCTTTATCTTCTTAGATTCCGACCTCGACCCTGTTTCTGACCCCGTCTCCGGTTCTCTTGCCCGTGAGATCGATAACTACTCGGATTCGGACTCTGTTCATCTGAACCATGTCGAGCCATATTCTCATCTGAACATCGAGCCGGAGGATTCTGTCCATTCGCCCGCCTCACCTTTTGGCATCGACTGGGCTGTGTATAACCAGGCGCTACTTTCGGGCACCCTTTGTGAGGATCCCGAAGTTCTTAACACTCTTGAAACTTCCTACCCCGACTTGGCTCCTCGAGGTATTTTCTGCTAGATTTTTTCGAACACCCCTCTGTATGCGGCCCGCCTTGCTCCTTTATAACGACTTTCCTTAATCGAGTCTGCAACTATTGCATGTTCAATGGTAAGTTCTTACTATCGTTTTCTTTATGCTCCTGCAGCCGAAATCGATGGCTTCAGGGAGTTCAGCGGCCTTCCCGCGGACTGGGCTGTAGTTGCTCCTAAGCCCGAAGATGACTTTCGCCACCCTCCCAAGGGTTGTTTTACTTTTTTCGTGGACCAAATAATGTCGGGCCTGCGTTTCCCGATTCAACCTGAACTGCAATCGTTAAGTAACCTTTTCGATATACCAATAAACCAGTTCACCCCTAATTCTATTCGAATAATGGTAGCTTTTATAGTCGTTACCCGCATAGTTCTAGGTGATTTTTTACCCGAATTTTTCCTTTATTGTTACGGGTATAGGTTTAGCAAAGACGCCCATTGTTTGGGTCGTCGAGTAGGTGTTACTTTCCTTTACGACCTCTCTTCCAACATTACCGAATGGAAGAAGAAGTATTTCTTCATTCGTCCTGCTCCTGGTCAATATCCTTATTCGAATGAGTGGATTACTAGTAAGACAAAGCAACGTAAGCGTCCCGACTCTTCACAATTTGCCGACATGCTGGAAGAATTAAATGGGCATGTGTGGAGTGCTCGTCAGCTTACCAAAGATACTTCTTTACTTAACCATGTTGGTATTTGTGTCGACGAAAGTGCTCCTCGCCTTAGTGATCCTTGTAAGCTTTCTTTGTTTGTCGTCTTTTGTTCCGTTTTATTTACTGGGGGTTTGGCTTCGTATTTCTGCGTTTATTTGTCTTGAGATATGTGCACGGCTTATGTGTTTATTTGTATTTATAATGTTCCCTTTCTTTTTTAGTAAAAGCATTGGCCCGTTTTGAGAAGAAGGCTAAGGCAGCTGATGAATCGGTTGCCAGAGGGCTTGGAGGCGGCTCGAGCTCTGCTGCTCCGTCGGAGGCGGTCAAGACGACGGCCGCTAAGAAGTCTAAAGTTGTCCTCCCCTCGGCCACTGTGTCGGGC